CGTAGAGTTAATTTCTTAGTGTCACAACGACAAATTTTCATAAAACAAAACTAGAGAAACCTGGTGACTAGTTGCATGCACTTTTTTATATGTTTACCAGGATTACTTTTATATATGCAGGTGCCATGAGCCTCCACAGCTTCGAGAATCTGAACCAAATTGGGGATTTTTTGAATTCTTGCTATGATGAATGCAAGAAGCTGCAGGATTAATTAGGAATATTTTATTTGGTGGGATCCGGAGAGTGATATAAAAATATTTTTGTTCTCAAACTTTAGTTTGTCAAGATTAGATTGATAGTTAATGGTCGACCATAGACTTTATGATTTATCGCTTACTCATCAAAGTTAGCTCAAGAAAATTAAGACGCCAAATAAAACTTTATTTTTCATTCCCTCTCCCAATTTTCGGTTTCTGCTCTCCAGTCCTACACTAGTTGCTCTGACTGGAAAGTACAAGGGGCAGGGAGAGAGAAAGACAAGATCAAAAGGGACAATTAAAAGATAAAGAGGCACAAACAATTCTTTCCCACTGCAAAAAAAAAGAAAACAAAAAGAGTATTATTGATATTGGGCGACGCAATCTTACACAGTCATCGGTGTCGTGGTGTAGTTGGTTATCACGTCAGTCTAACACACTGAAGGTCTCCGGTTCCAGTCCGGGCGACGCCATTTTTGCCCATTCTTGGTTTGTTCTTGGGCCTCCCTTGATGTAGGCTTGGCTGTGTATTTTTATTTAAACTTTAACAGCAAATGGTCTTATTAGGAATTGCGGAATCAAGTCCTATAAAGCATTCCAGATACATGTACATGTATGTAGAAGTTAGGCCTGCAGATATATTCTTCAGGCCAACACTTTCGGATCAGTACTTGGTGATGTATCATTTTATTAAGAAGTTAGGCCAACACTTTCAGGTTAGTAGTCACTTGGTGATGTTTCACCTCATCAAGAATCATCTAATTTCGCTCATGTTTTTGTCACAAGTAACATGCAATGTAGTCTTTCGGACAAAGAAAATCACGTAGGTAGGACGATTCCCACCAGTACAAACATATTTCCTCTTTTGGTATTTCTTTTCCCCCCTAACAGCTTCTCCATTTTTCATTTATTTTCTATATGATATCATTGGGTAGCAAATAGCAATACTGAGATTTTTAGTACTGACATGTGAAAATAATGACAATCCAATCCGAGGCTCAATCAGTTCAACCGCATATACATGAATGGCCCGCTTGTAGCTTAAGTGTAACTAGGCTTAATCTAGCCCAAAACACTAAATGTTCTTCTGCGTGCGTAGCCCAAAACCCAGGATAAGCAACAACTTCCCTTCCTAAATGATAATCTGATATGGAATTAGCTCAAAATCATTTAATGATACCCTGGGATGATATATGTTATTTCCTACTTGACATACTAATTTAATTCACTTGATAACATAATTCTGAATTAAAGCCTAATCGCACTTGGTGCTTCCTAAATTAGGGCATGATTGAAAGCTTTTTCTCATCGACAGAATCGAGATGCAATAGGCCTAAGCTGAATTTGGAAAGTTTTTTTGCAAAGTAACATTAAGGGAGAAGAATATAGTAGCAGCTGGTCCATATCTTTTTCCTCCAAAGTAAACATTATTTTTTTTAAAAAAATGACAACAGTTAGGTAGTGAGCATCTTAATTAATGTTAATTGCAAATTGACACCTAAAGTTTAGCCACATTCAAGGCCTCTTCAATCACACCAAGGCTTCCAGGCCTATAAATTATGGGGGCATCATGCTTAGTTCCAAACTACAATACTATATCATACAATTAATCTTGAGTGGTTTGTGGGAGAATTAGATAGCTTTAGAGAATAAGTTATGGCTAGAAAATTCTTAGGCTTGGTGGTGTTGGTGATGGTATTGTCCATGAATGTGCTAACTCTAGCACAAGAGTTCAACCATGGACTCCCACCAAATGTTTTGCAACCCACAGAGGTTTTGCAACCTACAAAGTTTAAGATCCCTGGTAGGGTGAAGTGCTTAGCCCCATGTGGCCTTAGTTGTCTTGGTCGTCCTAGCATTTTCATGGCCATATGCATGAGTGCATGTGCAATTCCATGCGTGGTTGGTCCAAATATGGTACCAAATGTTGTTCGTGATTGTACTATAGAATGCGCAAGTACTAGGAACACCGATTTGTACTCTGGTAAAATTTAATTCCTCACCGATTGGCCTTTATGTTTTCTAGAAGACTGATTATAAATGTTAGTTGTATGCACTTCTTACATGTTTAACACTGATACTTTTTTACGTGCAGGTGCCATGAGCCTTCAGAACTTCGAGAATCTGAACCAAATTGGGGACTCTGTGAATTCTTGCTATGATGAATGCAAGAAGTTGCAGGATTAGAAATATTTTATTTAGTAGGGATCTGAAGAGTGATATAAAAATGTCATTCCCCTATGTGATTGGTACTAATAGTAAACATCTTATATAGGCATTGGCTCTCCTCTGTTCTGAGACTTACAAATGTTAATAAGTGCACACTACGTGCTAGTGCTTGCAAGTTGTAAGATCTACCAATGACCCATTAATAATAAAACTCCTATTTCCACATTTGTATTTGTTTCACTATGTCATTTTACAAATGAATTTGACAAAAAAAAATCATGTTTATTTGGGTTGGTAATCTCATTGCAAGGAAGAATAAATGAGCCAAAAAAGAGAGCTACAACATTAGCAATCCACGAGCCAACAATCATTGACTAATTAGGTTGGCCTCTTGGATGGGAGGCATATGGAGGATACATGTTCCTTCGTTAAGTCCTTATAATAGTTTTTCTTTTTGATACTAATAGTTAATCTATAACTAGTAACTTTAATCTATAACTAGTAACTTGATAATAATATAAAAAACAATACAGATAGATACAGAGTTGATATGGATGGGGAAATTTCCTCTAGTAGTCAGATTCCAAGATTCCATCCATGGTTTTCAAAAGTCCAAATCGCCGGGCAGCGGCGAGTCAAGAAAAATTTGGGTGTATCGTATACGGAGGCGCTGCAAATATACTAGATTAAGAAACAGGATACCAAACTAACAATGATTTAGCTTACCAATCATTGCATGAAATGAAATAAAAGAAAACCATAACAGCCAGGCCATACTGATCAAAAATACATAAATGAAATGATACAGAAGGAGAAAGAGATCAAAACACTAAACTCGAAAGGTAGGTTTAATATCAGGACATGGGTGCTTGTTTTATCAAATTTGAGGAGATTGATAAAGCTTCTTAAATCAATATTAATGCCCAGACAATCCTAGCAATTCCAATCTATCTGGCAGAAGTAAAAATTGACCAGTTTAGTTGATGAAGTCCAACAATATGCATTAGAGACAATATTATTCAGGAGTTCATTCTGATAATATGAGGCATAAAAACTTACCGGTATTGAAGAATTGGGGCTTTTACCACCAATTATACTTCCACTCTGACAGACTGAAACTGGGATTTTGAAGAGACAGAGGAAGTATAATGGAAGTGAGGATAGATCTGATCGGATAAGAGTTACCGTGGCTCTTGGTGTGATGATTCGTTATCTCTACAGGAATTTGGGGGGGAGGGGGGGGGGGTGATTTATCTCTTAAAGATCTAGCTAAACACTTTCGACTGTTTCTGGAAAAGACAAAAAAGAACAGGCTTCCTAGGCTTAGAAAAGCAAAGAAGTTGAAGAAGATTACTCCCTGTGGTGGCGTGAAGTCCGTTCAATCAGGAGATAGCTCGACTCAAGATTGCGATATCGAGCTCGGTAATAAAAAAGTTCTTGCTGCCACTACTTCCATGGCTTCTTCCAAATCTGTAGAGGTGGGCAAAACTCTTGAAGTTGGGCGTGCACTTGGATTGGAGATCATAGGGGAGGTTGGGGAGGTGGAGAGAGTGATTGAAGAGCTTGTGGAGAAGGAAGGGGCGGAATGGGTTGACTCACGAGTGGTATAATAGCTCTCAACACCATTCATGATGTAAGATAACTGAATGGAGAATCAGGTGTGAGGAGAGGATCATGGTCAGATGAGGAAGACATTCTTCTAAGGATATGCGGTGAACATTGCGAAGAAGGGAAATGGCACCTGGTTCCTTCCAAGAGCTGGGTTGAACAGGTGTAGGAATAACTGTAGATTGTGGTGGCTAATCTACAGAAACCAAATATTAAGAGAGGTAAGTTTTTCAGAGGATGTTGTCAATATTATGTTCAGGTTGCAGTTTTGAAAGGGCTGATGTGGATTGAAATCGGTTTATGGATACTACTTTACTGCGACTATTCAACCTATACTCCTACACAACCTTAGTCATGTGCTTGTTTGTGTAGATGGCTTCAAAATTTGGCTTGGTGTAGTGTCTGTTATGCTAGTTTGTGAGCTCTATTATTGTGCATATCCTTTAGTTGTTAGGTTGTTAAATCCTGTATGTGTTCTTTCGTAGTGTGGGTTAGTTTTTTGCTGACTTAGCTGCTCTTTTGTAATTCTGTGTGAGTTTTAATACAATCGTTTATATAAAAAAGCAGAGAAATTTTGCATTCCAAGATTGAAGTCTCTTTTTAATCTTCTCTATGATTGGGTTCCAGTTTATTGACTTGGGCATGCAAGCGCTCAGTGGAAGGCCGAGGTAATTGTGAGGGAGGATTTCAGAGCTGCCCCCAGAATTTTAATATATCATGGGTTAATGGTATATTTGGTATTCCTACTAGTTCAAATTCGTCAATTGTATACCCCGACTTTTTTTTCCGTCAATTATATACCCGTATTTTTGAAATTTGGTTAGCATACAAGCTTCCTTATAATATGGTAACCAACATTGTCCCACATGCCCATCATCATCCAGTGCCTCCTATGTTTTCTGTACAAGGTATACTAGAGTTATATCCATAGTATATGTCTAGTCGATGTATGATATTTGTTGCATTGTCAAGTATATAGTATAACCTAATTAAGTCTATACAGTTCAATAAGCCTTCTCGCCAACACCACTTGTAGTGTAGTGGCATCTTTCTCGGTATTTATCCAAGAGGTCATGGGTTCAATCCCAATAGTGGGATTGTAGGTGATTTGGGGGTAGGAGGGGGTTATGGATAGTTGTTAGGATTCCGATGTACAAAAAAAATAAGCCTTCTCACAATCAGTTCTCTATTATATTCAGTTCTTTATGGAGCAACTTAGATTATTTAAAGATTGAATATATTACATTGAAAAATAAAATAGAAACCATAATATTAAAGAGAAATGTCCATACCTTCTGTCAAAGTCAGAACTCTCAACAAAGATTACCATAATAGGGGTCATTGGCTCTTGCTGAAATTCGTTGCCCTATAATGTCCATGTCAGGATCTGCGGAATTCTTATATCTAGGGTCGGTGCATTTGTAGATGTATTTGCACTCATGATTCCAGTTAGCACCTGAGTTTGGACCAAGGTGCACCTAGCTTCTTCCTTGTCTAGTCTCCAGAATCATCTAGGTGATTCAAATTGAAGACTACTTGCTTCAATGCATTCACTATATATTTAAGATTCTGCCTTGGAATGCCACATGCACTTGTCTCCAAACTCGCATAGTTTTCTAAGAAGTCGAATTTCTTATAGTCCTAGTTGGGTTAAAAGTGTGAGTATTTCTTAAATATATGTGGCTCCCAACTATTCTGCCTTTTTGGTTTTTCATAACCGATGAGATATACATCATGCCTTTGTAGGAAGCTCTTAATGCGTTCCTACTGCTGGTACTTTTCATTATATGCTGTCCACTCTACTTTATAAAGTTGAACATGAGTGTAACCTTCAGGGGGAAGGACATAAAATTGGAGAGGTTGACCTTCACTGCCCGGAATCTTTAGCTCTCCCCATCTCAAATCCTTTCGAAATGTGTCCATTTTAACACCACGGAGTTGTTCATTAGCAGGGCGGATATAGGGGGAGTAAGGGGGCCAGGCTATCAACCAAAGGTGTAATATTCATTTATTTCTTTATCATCTTATTGATTATATATGATAAGAAAATATATTTGATAATACACCTATAAAATTTACAGAAAAAGTAAGTTGTAAGGAGCATGTAAATAACTTATACTCTCGTATCTTCCATTACCATACTCATAATAATCCGACGGATTAACTTCTCCCAAACTATATGGTGTGAATACTTTGTCAACTTAATGATTTGGGTTTGCACATCTATAAATTTCTGTACACCTATCTAACCAATTATCTTGACGACCCAAAATCCAAGTTTTGTTGCTCAACTTTGGCACTTCAGGGCTCTGGAGTTCAACCATGGACTCCCACCAAATAATTTGCAACCCACAAAGTTTAAAATCCCTAATAAGGTGATCTATGTGGCCTTACTTGTCTTAGTCCTCTTGGCTTTGTCATGGTTTTATGCATGAATAAATGTTTAATTTCATGCCTGATTGGTCCTAATATGATACCAAATAGTTGTACTTTGGTAAAGTTCAATTCCTCCCCATTTATTCTTCTTCCAATTCATTTGTATTTTCTGATAGACTGGTTTCAAATATTAGTTGCATACGCTTCTTATATGTTTAATAAGGATACTTTTATGCGTGCAGGTGCCATAAACCTCCGGAGCTTCGAGAATTTGAACGAGAAATTTGTGAGTTCTTATTAAGATGAATACAAGATGCTGCAGGATTAGGAACCTTTTATTTGGTAGCTAAGGAGAAGGGTGACATAAAGATGTCATTCTAGAATGTTAATTTATTAGCAGTAATCATTTTATATAGGCATTGGATCCCCAGTTTAGAGACTTACAAATGTTAATAAGTGCACACCATGTACTACTGCCTGCAGGTTGTAAGATATGCCGATTTCTTACAAATGTTAATAAAATTAACGTTTTTTTAGATCCAATAATCTCATTGTAAGGAAGCATAAATAAGCATATAAAAAGAGCTGCAGCATTAGCAATCCTTCATCAATTACTCCTTAAATAGACGGGGTTTAAGCCGATCGCAAAATTAATCACCGACTTACCTAGCTCGTGGAATGGCATTTCCTAATAGATTCACTGGAAATATCACAGGCAGTAACCTTTAGCCCGATAAAAATTGACAAGAGGAACACTGTGCTCATTGGATCATTATATTTATATATCGTTCATCATATATATAGTCAATTTATTAGTGATTGTTCAATATTGTTGTTGAATCATTATATTTATATTCATTGCTGGGGTTGTCACTACTCACTACAGATCGAGATAAATTCACAGATTTGTTTCTTTTTCTCATATTTTTCATTTTCTACATGTAACTTTACGCTGAACAAGACGAAACGACTACGCATAACAATACAATTGCCAGTTTCTTTAGGAAAAGATTGAATTGATAGAGTAGTAGATTATTCCTCACTTCTTGTGAGCTTGTCGGACAAATAAATTAAATTCTCTTAGATTCATGTTCATAATTTAAAAAGGGAGAGCAAAAAGAAATTGAAAAAAGAAAAAGGATATATAGAATGGCAAACCATGCTGGCCTCGATATCTCCATGTAGGAAAATTGAATAATTTAAACGAAACAAAAATTAAGCCACAATAATTCTTAAAACAAATTACTCCAAGTTTAGATAACATAACATCTAGACAACCCTGAGACGATGTAAATGAAGCAAAAGTTAAGCCACAATAATTCTTAAAACAAAATACTGCCCGCTGAGATAGCATATAGACAAGATGTAACTAGAAAAAAAATTCAGATATAGATACGTATCTACGGAGACATATATACTGAGTCATTCATGAATTGAACGTATCTACGGAGACATAAGTATAAAACATAAATCAAATAAAATAAACAAAGGATATGTACGATAAAGGGCTTAAAACCGAATAAAAGGGATGGGCAAGAATGGCGTCGCCCGGACTCGAACCGGAGACCTTCAGTGTGTTAGACTGATGTGATAACCAACTACACCACGACACCGGTACTTGTGTTAAATGTTTTTCAATAACTCTTAACAGATAAGATGACATAGGAACTTGCGACCTCAGCCTTCGTTATAGGAGTTAGCATTCCAGATACACGTACATACATGTATGTAGAAGTTAGGCCTGCAAATTGGATTAGTACTTGGTGATGTATCATCTCATCAAGAATCATCTAATTTCGCTCCATGTTTTTCTCCCAAGTAATATACAATGTAGTCTTTCGGACAAAAAAAAATCACGTAGGACGATTCCCACTATTGCAAACATATTTCCTTTTTTGGTATTTCTATTTCTCCTAACAGCTTTTCCCTATTTTCTATATGATGTAACTTAAGTGAAATTATTAGTACTGCTGACATTGTGAAAAGAATGGCAATATATCCAATTCCGTTGAGGCTCAATCAGTTCAACCGCGTATACATGAATCGCCCGCTTGTAGCTTAAGTGTAATTACTAGGCTTAATCTAGCCCGAAACACTAAACGTTCTTCTGCGTGCTTAGCCCAAAACCCTTTAATGATAAGCAACAATTTCCCTTCCTAAATGATAATCTGATATGGAATTAGCTCAAAACCATTTAATGATACCCTGGGATGATTTACTCAAAAAAGGATACCCTGGGGTGGTATATGTTATTTCCTACTTGACATACTAATTTAATTAACTTGATAACTTGCACAACTCTGAATTAAAGCCTAATCGCATGCTTTTAATTAGCACTTGGTGCTTCCTAAATTAGGGCATGATTGAAAGCTTTTTCTCATTGACAGAATCGAGATGTAATAAGCCTAAGCTGAATTTGGAAAGTTTGTTTTACAAAGTAACAATTAAGGGAGAAGAATAGTAGCAACTGGTCTATATCTAAACATTATTTAAAAAGAAATGACAACACTTGGGTAGTGTGTTGCCAAACAGATTCAGTTTTCACTTGCCTTCAGTCAGTCGATCACCAAGCACGGTGGACAAAAGAATGGAGACGCCATCTTCGGGAATGGGAAGTATTAGAGATGTTGGAGATACAGAATATCATTTCCAACATATCGAGACAACCACAGCATAATGATCGTCGGGTGTGGAAACATTCACCGGATGGAGTTTACTCTGTTAAAAATGGAAGATCACTTATCTACTCAAGACTTGGTTTTATTCGGAAAAAACCTTTCATTTGGTATTCACTGTCACCTTTCAAGGTAGAGGTATGGCTTTGGTTGGTGCTGAATAGAGCAATTCCAACGAGAGACAACCTCAAAGAACGAGGTATAATTTCACTTGCAGATTCTATGTGTCCTCTGTGTCATTCCAGTCTTGAAACGCGCGATCACCTTTTATTATCCTGTCCTATCTCTTGGCAAGTATGGTGTACGTTGATTAAGTGNTATTTCAACCATCATGTCTATCGCGGAGTGCATCAAGCATTGGAGCAGCCCCTGTAGGAATTTTAATTTGGTTGCTGTATACTTTGAATCCCCTGCTTAGGTGACAATTTGAACAGGCCTGGCCTGTACTGTAATTATTTACGAATTAATAAAACTTCGTTTAGTATAAAAAAAAAAACACTTGGGTAGTGTGCATCTTAATGTTAATTGCAAATTGACACCTAAAGTTTAGCCACATTCAAGGCCTCTTCAATCACACCAAGGCTTCCGGGACAATAAATTATGGGGCATCAAGCTTAGTTCCAAACTACAATATTATATCATACAATTAATCTTGAGTGATTACGGGAGAATTACATAGCTTTAGAGAGTAAGTTATGGCTAGAAGATTCTTAGGCTTGGTGGTGTTGGTGTTGTCCATGAATGTGTTAACTCTAGCACAGGAGTTCAACCATGAACTCCCACCAAATGTTTTGCAACCCACCGAGGTTTTGCAACCCACAAAGTTTAAGATCCCTGGTAGGGTGAAGTGCTTAGCCCCATGTGGCCTTAGTTGCCTTGGTCGTCCTGGCATTTTCATGGCCATATGCATGAGTGCATGTGCAATTCCATGCGTGGTTGGTCCAAATATGGTACCAAATGTTGTTCGTGATTGTACTATAGAATGCGCAAGTACTAGGAACACCGATTTGTACTCTGGTAAAATTTAATTCCTCACCTTTTTTTTT